TGCATATGCTATAAAAATACCAAGCTAATTTGTTTGATGTTACAACATGTTGCAGTGTACATATTTCATTGTCACATGTTGAGCAACATTATGTATTTTATGTATCTGCGGTCCATAGTGGAAACCACTCTTAACTTTATTGAGAAATATATTATGAATACAAAATTTAAAATGCATTTTGAAGCTCATGCATTTCGGCCACTACTTTTGATGTTTTCTAAGCCAAATGCATTTTATTTATTTATTTTTTTGTTGAAACTGAACGCATAAACAATGCGTGCAGAAATCATTACTCAGGCTACATGCCACCCATTTTAGTGTTTTTTATATTCCTTTAAATCTGTTTTAATTCTACTTGATTAACGAATAAACCTAATCAGATTGTTGGCTGCGAAAGATCTCAGTCGCAAAATTAGTCTGCAGTCCAGCGCGACGCCGTGCGAGATTGAGAGGGCTGGCCAATGCCCTGGGTGCTGCTTGGCTGTCACTACAGACACTTTAACTGCTATTTCTCCACCTATTTTCTACAACGTAGTCCATTGCCTTGAGGATTGCAAATACCTCAGCTTGGGTTACCGAGGCATATTCCCCAAGAAAAAAGTGTAGCTCATCCACATAACATTCGATATAGACACCAGATCCTAACCCAGTGTCAGTTTTTGAGGCATCCGTAATGGTTCGAAAGGCCTAAGTTCAGTCGTGGAATTAAGCCAGCATTCATCCTCAAGAAATTCAAGCCTTTAGAATCTCCCCAACAAAGGTGATCATTTCTCTACCACCAGCAATCTTCGCCACGTCCCACTCAGTATCATACCAACATACATATATTTATTTTCAATGTGCAGGTCGCATAGGAATAAGCCTAACTTGTCTCACAACGGTGTATGTAAGCAGCCTATGCCCATTGACCAGTCGTCACCCGCTTGGAGGATATACTATCTAGGAGGATTTTTGCCCCCATAGTTTTTGGGTATTTTTTTTTTATGTGGAAGCTAGAAAAACGCATGCGTATGTAAGTTAGACCACTTGTTTTCACCTTCAGCTTAGCAAACATAAGCACACATTGTAAATCCACGTTTTTAAGTTAAACACCGACTGTTGTAAGGTCATAAGCACCATAGGCTTCTAGAGCCGTCTTCAGTGTTGTTTAGAGCCAGTTGCTTTAGCAAAATCATTAGCAGTTGTCTTCGTTGGCATTGTGCATGACAGGTAAGCCACTAATTGTCGAATTTGCAGAATGCGTTAAGAAGTAAACACGTCACCTTGCGCGATCAGCCGTCACCGGCTATGAGGTTTTCGGTCAACTATGCACAATACGTACAAACGTTCATATCTAGCTAGTATTGTTTTACAGTAAATATTTTTGCATATTTAGTAGTTTTTATTACAAGTCAATATTTTAACAATATTATAGCTCAAAGACTTAATAAATAAATAAATATTTGATACTTAAATTTTTGTTTAGTGTTTAGCCAAGCTTCTTCTCCAATTTGTGGCACTCGCTGTTAGAGAAATAATTTTTGATGTTTGAACATTTTAGCTCTCGCGAGGGACTAAATTTATTTCACAACACCAACTTTAGCAGTTGTTCCAAATAACAGAGGGTGTATTAAAATATTAAAGATTAGTGTAATTTATTCTATATTTAGCATCATTTATTAAGAATATAAAAAAATACTGAATTTCTTTAAATGAAGTTTGGTATTTAGAGGTATTCGCTCATTACAAATTTAAAACTAGTTTTTAAAAATTCAAAATGCAAAATCCAATATGGCGTTCGGAATTTCCAAATATTCACGCCCGAATAACTTAATTTAAATATGAGAAAAAATAAAAAAATATAAAAAGAAAACTGTCGAGGTCTAGACTTGCGTTTAAACCGGCTAAAATAATGCCGCCGGACTAATTTTTGAAGCATTCCTCTGCAGACGAATCGTTCCTCTTGCCTATCGTTCGTCATACAGAATAAGGCTGTAAAAATTTGTTATAAAAAGTTTAAAATTTTTGGGCGGCGCAATTGTTAAAATTTGTTTGAAGTTTGAAATATCGACTTTTATACAAAAATTATAAACACTAAAGGTCTCTACAAGGTAATGACATATTTTAATCGAAAGACTGTGGAAACGAACTTGATATACATATGTAATGGGTGATTTTTTAAGAGCTTGATAACTTTTTTTTTAAAAAAAACGCATAAAATTTGCAAAATCTCATCGGTTCTTTATTTGAA